GTTTGAGCTGTCTGTGCACCTCTCACCAGTGGGCTGTACACTCATTAAACTGCATGTTTCTTTAGCTGCAGCTCTGCCTGGCTATGTCGTATCAACAGGATAAGTACATGGCCTACAAGGCCTGCGTCTGCACTTGGATTAGACCTTGGAGGTTTTGTCCATGGTAAATCTTTAGTTGAAAATCCATCCTATTTCTCCTTTAAATTTGAATAGCATAAATCCAAAGCAACTACATCACCCTCAGTGAAATACGAAGTTTTTACTCCATTGGTCTTTTGCATTCTTCCTTTTAAAAAAAAAAAAAAAAAAAAACCAACCAAAAAATCCTAAATTTTTAAATCAGAACTTCTCAAATATTTCTTTGCCTCTAAATCAATGAACTTCCTGACAACGTTCCTTGTAAAGACTAAAGCCTTTCCTGTCAAGTGATTAACTCGGGAAGGCCCTTCTATGAGACATGTGTTTTGTAGCCAGTTGTGTGGTATCTTTAACTGGGTCTGTAACACTTTTCCGATTGTCTGCATAGAAAGAGATAAAAAGGAAGGGGACTGCCAAACTCTACTGTATAACATAAAGCAAGTCAGAAGGAAAAGGTTTAAAATTTCTCTTCTTCCTTTTCCACTGCTGGCTACATCTTATCTTTAGCCAGAAGATGCTAACATAATTTCCTCTCAGTAAATTGGTTCACATGTGATACAAAAACACAATGACTTCCTTTTCTAACTTAAGAAAAATTTTGACATTTCTTAAATGTTTTGACATTCAAGAATCCTGATTTAATCTCAGAACTATTCAAACATCCCTTTACCAAGCCAGTGGGTGCATATATTCCTCAATGAGCCTTCTTTTTTTAACTAAGTGGTAATACTTAGGATAGAAATTTGAAATTAATTGCAATAACCAGTGCTTGCAAAGTGATGATACTGGGACTTTTTTTGAGCTAGCACAGTATATGTCTACCTCTTTTGTTGCTCTTATGATATCTAGTCCTGTTTGAAGTAATAGTGTCATTTTGCTGTGGATTTTAACAACTGTGATGCTGTTGAAGCTGACTCCGCAAGCAGTTGTGCACGTCTTAATACTAAATAAGAGCCCGATAAATACTAGAAACAGCCATAAAAACCTTCCTGAAGTTTTTAGCAGTGATTCAAATGAATAGTAAATTCACCTACTCATGAATGAAATATGAAACTTGTTTGTATTGCTCCCATTGCTGTGCCATCTGGGTACATCATGTGAAATGAAATGATACCAGTGACTGCTTTCTTGCTTCCCTTCACAAAAGGAGGCAAAACAGTTGATGAATTGCTGTTCTTTTTTCCTGTTAAGCAATCTCCCAGTTTTGAGATTTTCAACTGTTTTATTTGCAATGTAGTTGTATACTATATAAATAATTGAAAAGGCATGCCCTACAAATACATTTTATAGTTCACTCATGAAGATACAAAGATCTCCCACTTTGACAGTCATCATAGTTAATCACAAATGGAAACTTTCTGAATAGCTCTGGTATTTTGAACATTGTGAAACAGTCTTGGTTTGGTTAAAACTCTTCCAGTTGTCATACCCAACACTTAAAATTTAAGCATGTACGAGATGCTACAGGCAGCAGTCATTAAGAGATCATTTAATGGGTAGGACATCATATTAGAGGCCACATTAAAATACAGGATGTTTTACATAGGTCTCACCAGCAAGTATCCCTAGAACAGACTTTTCAGAGCTTTCTTTGTGCCATGATGGATTACTAGAGTTGACTTTAGTGAGCATGTCAGGCTCTGGACTACCCTTCTGTCTGGCTATCTGATAGGTTACCAGATGTCTTAGAGAGGCTTTGGCTTCCAAGGGGCAGTGCAGCTGCTTGGCGATTGCTTCTGTGAAGAAGCACTATTAAAGTAGTATTAAAAAGCCCTATTGTAGAATGTGTGCACAGGTTGTATGGGACACAAGTAGCTATTAAGTGTACAAGTAGCATTGTGGTGCTTAGTCTGGGGCTGCAGTATTTTGGTTTTGTACTTGTGCCAGGTGTCCAAATCACCATGCAAGATTAAGAGTGCCCACAGCAGTCCTATTTCTATTGAGCAGGAAACAGCATGTTTTAAATGTAGTTTGCCTCAAAGCTAGTAGTTGTAAGGACTGTAAGCAGAAAGCTGCCATGGTATGCACTATCACCTACAGATACCTCCATTTCCAGTTCTGATAGACTATTTTGAGGAGTTGGAGAAGCCCTGAAAATTTACAGTTTGAGGAGCTGAACTTGAAGTGTCTTCTGCTAGCTAAATGGCAAGCAAAACAGCTTTTCTCATAATTCCTTTTCTTCAGGACTGCTTCTGGGTGGTATTTATTCCTTATGCTGTCATCTGTTAGCTTGTTAAGCCCAGGAGGTTCACACCTGTAGATGGCACCCGAACAATCCACAGTCCTGAGCCTTGGTCTGGTGCGACTGCAGTGGTTTGTCCTGAGGCTTCACAGGATTTGCAGCACAGCAGATATGTGTGGGGACTAGTGCCTGATTACAGCAGCTGCCATGGTCAGCAGGCAACAGTGAGAGCAGGGGTATTGCAAAAGGTCCCTCTTTCTGGAATAAAAAGAGATTTGCATAAATAGACATAAGCCTGATGTGTCCCCCACTGATTGCTATCAAGTGGAAATGTATGGGAACTTTGCCATGGAGTACATATGTGTAAGTGCATCCCATTGTCACCATGTGATTAAGGCCTTGAGGTTTTAAGAATCATCAAAAGTAATATCCAAATTTCCTTTCTAGGGAAAGGATCCTGACCAGATTAGTAGGTAGTACACAAGTGGTTAGCTGGGAAGTAAGTCAATGCTAGACTTGTTTACAGCAATCTGGTAACTCCTATTTTACAAAGTTACTTTCCAAAGCAAGTGGAGACTTGCTGGAAATCGTTTCAGTATGTTCTATTCAGTTGAATTTGGTTGCTAAGGGAAATGTCATTGCAGAGCAGAAACTGTGCGATATTGGCCTGACAGGCAAATACACAGATGTCCAGTGCAATCATGGAGAATTAATTTGTAGGTGTGTCATCAGATTTCAGTTTCCTTTAATTTGACTGCCTCATGTATCCGTGAAGCACCACTGCAGCAGTACAACTGCAAAGTAATCAAACCTTGGTTAAGGCAGCTTGGCTTTAACCAAGGCTAAACATGTGTCTTAAAGGATCTGGTCAGGTTTGTCACTGGGATTTCCTGGCCATCAGCCCTAGGAGTAACTGATTTAATGATACATCAAGTCTGAGCGTCTGGATTCAACCACAGAGTATTTTTCATTGCTGGTAGTGTCATTGCAGTGCATCAAGCTCAAATCAGCATGAGCAAGTAAACCCCAAGAAGCTAGGGAAATACCTAGGTTACTCTTCATACTAAACTCTGTGTTTATAGCTGCACATTGCATTTTAGCTCGTTACCTTGAAATGAGCTCTAGAACATTTCTGTGAATGCAATAGCTTGAGTCTATGCCTGTTACACTTGCAATCTTTATTTAGAATACAGACGCAGTCACTGTCTTTGTGTGCATCTATGAAATGATTAATAGTGATTCTTTGTCTCTTAGGAGAGTTGTGTTGAGAGGACTTGAAAAAATGAGGGCATGGGAATGAGTGGATACTGACAGAAACTATATATATCCCTGAAACAATTTAGCAATATACTGTAATGATTTTTTTTTTTCCCTTCCCCATAGGTGGTTATGTTTCAGAGTGCCTACCAGCTTACTGTAATGAGGCACAGACAGGGAATTTCAGGAGCCAGGAGCTTGGCTTATGTCTACATGACTGCATCCTAAAGCCAATTTAAAAATCTGTCAATGGCAGAGGAGCAACGACCTCATTACTGTAGCAGTAAAACCTTGCACGTTGTTGGATAGATATGGTGCAGAACAAGCTAACAGAAAATACAGTAAGCTTGCAAATACCTGCTTTTCTGGAGCTTGATTCAATAGCAATAGGTTGGAATCAGTGGTGTATCACCACTGATCTGGGATCAGTGGTTTATCACCTCTTAGTTTTCTTTAAATCCATGATTTAGGTTGAGGATATAGCTGATCTGACCTAGAATAAGTTCTCTCAGTAAAAGTTCTCTAAGCTGTGTATGTAGAGTCCTGTCTATTAAAAAGTCCTTCTCTTTCACATTTCCTTTTATTAAAAACTCCAAATATTCCCTCGTAAAGAGTTGGATTTTTACATACCTGGTCATCCTAAGCAATTCCCTAAAAATTCTTACTCAACACTTGGAAAATTATCTAATAGGTGGTCCTTTCTTGAAATGGGAGATGTGTGATGAGAGTGGTGGGTTGGCTATTGATTTCCAGTAGGTGCATTTTACTAATGTTGAGTTTTTTCTGAACTCACACTCATGGGGATGTACAAAAACCTGAGTTTGAAAACTTGGAGGCAGAATGCTCCTTTCCATGATATCACATATTTTGTGGTAGGGTGGGATAGTCAGAGATTAAACACACTTTCTCCCAAGTTGTGTTAAATAATAAAGATAGATCTGAATAATTTAAGCATTAAATAGTAATATGAAAAAGAAGAAAGCATGAGGCAAACATAATTCCATCATACAGGAGTTTGACAGGATTAAAAGCTCACAGTGAAAGGGGAAAATAAATGTGTTGAGAAATAAAAATATGCATGTGTTCTTAGCTCAGTAGGCTCTGTGTACATCAAGCTTTGGACAGCACTGTTGGGGGTATGCATTGGTAGGATATTCAACCTTTTATTGTATGTGGCAGTGTTAAGCTTTCATTTGGATTCATTGGCTATTGAGACTTCCCTAGGAGAGCACTATCCCGTGAATGAAATTTTCAGCCAACTGGCTACCTTCCCTTTTTTTTTGGTCCTGGCGCAGTTTTATCTCTTCCATTCACGTATTATTGCCACATCTGGATCACTGCGCTTGCGTCTTGCCCAGTGTCATTTAGTACATCTGGAAATGTTGTGGCTTGCTGAATGACAAGTCTCACTTTTTTCTTCCAGTTCCGCCTGGTGGTAAAGACAGCACTGAAGCTGCTGGTGGTGTTTGTGGAGTATACCGAATCCAACGCACCGCTTTTAATCCAGGCAGTATCTACCGTTGACGAAAAGAGAGGTAAGTAGCCTTACTTGAGAGGGTGTGAAATCCCAGCACCACCGAGGTCAGGGCGGCATTTCATCACTGATTTCAGTGGTTCTAGAATTGTTGTCATGGTGCCTGCTTTGTGTGACATACCCTTTATTTTTTTTTTATTAAAAGCCTATTTTAAGTACTCATCCAATTTAAGATTGCTTCGAGGAATGAATTACAGTGGGAATGAAGAGCGAAAAGCTGAGAAACTTGACTGCCTTTCTGGGCACTGCATTCATTGCCCGTTCCCTGCACCCACACATGCAATAAGCCTCATTGCGTCTTCCAACCTCAGAGGCTCCTTCAGGCCAGGCCGTCTTTCCACTTCCTTCTGAGAAGCAGCAGTCTGATTTAGAAGAGAAAATGATATCTAATCAGTGTAATCCCTTTGAAGAGAAAGACGAGGTCAGTAATAGTACAGGCTTTATAGCAAAAGCAAAACCATCTGTTGTTACATTAAAATGAAGCCCTTGAGCAGATATTATACTATGAAATCTGTTACCCTTCAGGCTCATGAAAAATACTTGAATATGTATACTGTATTTTTTACAAATAAATAGAACAAAAATGGTTCTTTCTTGTTCTTCCCACAAAGCCATTGCTAAGCTCCTGGGGCATTCTCTCTTGATGAAAAACATTCCTTTGCCTCAAGGAGAGTTTTTGAGGTTGGGAGAGCCATTGTTGTGGTGTCAAACACATGGAGGTTGAAAGCAAGATCCCCTCTGCAGAGCAACTGCCTCCATGCTGAACTTGTTTGAGTGACTTGATATGGTAAAAGTGAAACAAAAAATGCTGGAGGATGGGGAGAAAGGTGGTGCCAGAAACTGAAGAAAGTAGCCAGATTTTGCTTTCCGTTATCAGAATGAGTACATTGAAAAGAAACTAAATTGTCTGTTCTGGCAGGGGAGCAGGCGGGGGAAATTAAAACACAGCACAGCACTTCAAACAGTAGAGTCTTCATGTTGGTTTTCTGTTGTGAATTAAAACCAGTAAACCTTACAATGCCATAAGCATAAATGTAATCACAATATTAATGTAATTGTGAGTACTATGATTTATTTTATAGTCATTCTTAGTATTTCCTCAGCTCCCTGAACTCACTGGTATTCTCAGCATGTTCAGATTGCCATCTGTTCACATGCTAGTAAACCTCATTGAGGAAAAACAGAAAGAAGACCCTAGACACACTACCATGTGCTGTGTGTTCCCTTCCGTATCTGTATAATAGCCTTAGGCAAACATTTACATGCCCCAAAGAAATAAAACAACTTAAGTAGCAACATAAAATGTGACAAAAAAGTGATGCATGTAGTTAAATGAATACATGTTAGGAGCATGAGGAGAGGATTTATGTGATTCTCATACCTGTGGGTTGGCACTTTGTCCCATGAACTCATTTGCAAATAACTTAGCCCCAGATATCCAGTTTTCCTTTATTATTGTTATTGTTATTTTTAAAGCAGTTGCACTTAGCTACAAACAATATTATTATTCTCTTGTTTTGTATTTAGTTCCTCTTTTAGGTCATAATGTAATGGAATCATAGAATTGTTTAGCTGAAAAGACCTTTAATATCATTGAGTGCAACCATTAACCTAGCACTGTCAAGGCCACTGCTAAACCACATCCCTTCAGTGCTATGTCTACACCTTTCAAATACCTCCAAGGATGACAAGTACTTCACTGGGCAGCCAGTTCCAATGCTTGAAGATGCTTTACATGACAAAATTTTTCTTAATATCCAATCTAAGCCTCCCCTAGTGAATTTTGAGGCCATTTCTTCTTGTCCTATTGCTTGTTGTTTGAGAGAAGAGACCAACATCCACCTCACTGCAACCTCCTGTCAGGCAGTTGTAGAGAGCGATAAGGTCTCCCCACAGCCTCCTTTTCTTCAGGCTGAACAAACCCAGTTCCCTCAGCTGTTTCTCATCAGACGTGTGTGGGAGAGCCTTCACCAGCTTCCTTGCCCTTCTCTGGACCCACTCCAGCACCTCAATGTCTCTCCTGTATTAAGGGGCCCAGAACTGAACACAGGATTCGAGGTGCAGCCTCACCAGTTCTGAGTACAGGGGCATGGATGATCACTGCCCTGGCCCTGCTGGCCACACTATTGCAGGCCAGGATGCTGTTGGCCTTCTTGGCTGCCTGGGCACAAGCTGACTTATATTCAGCTCTATCATTAAGCATCCCCAGGTCCTTTTCCACTGATCAGCTTTCCAGCCACTCTTCCCCAAGCCTGTAGCATTGCATGGGGTGGTTGTGGCCCAAGTGCAGGACCCGGCACTTCCACTTGTTGAACCTCATACCATTGGCCTTGACCCATCAATCCAGTGTGTCCAGATCCCTCTGCAGATCTTCCTACCTTCAACACATCAGCGCTTATGGACAACTTGATGTCATCTGCAAACTCACTAAGAATGCACTCCATCCTGTCACGTAGATCACTGATAAAGATATTGAACAGAACTGGCCCCAGTACTGAGCCCTGAGGAACACCACTTATGACAGGCTGCCAACTGGATTTAACTCCATTCACCACAGCTCTTTGGGTCTGGCCATCCAGCCAGTTTTTCACCCAGCGAAGGGTACACCCATCCAAGCTATGAGCAGCCAGTTTCTGCAGGAGAATGCTCTGTTGTGCTATATTTTGAAATTAGTGGCTTGTAACTGAGGAGTACCTGCCTTTAATGACTGATTTAATGGAACAGAAATACAGAGGAAGAAAAATTAATGTGCCTTTTCTTGAAATGTTCTCATAAATCTTGCAGGTACATAATTAAGTTTAGCACTGCTTTGAAAAAGGTCCAACATTTCATGTACATACAAGGTGATGAGATATGACATAATTCCTCAACATGTGTACCACACATGATTAACATAAAGAACCCAATATTAACTCAGCCTGGTTTCAAAGCAATCCCATCTGTGGTTTCTATGTGAGAACACATCCATATGCAAAGAGAGATCCACGGATGTACCGGCTTTACTCTCAGATACAAGCAGACTGTAAATGAATAACTTCATGGCCCTCATCATACAGGAAGTAGCTGTCACTAATATTTCCATCTAGCTTCCCCGTCCCCTCACCCTTTCTTATTTCAGAGCCCCAGGAGAATTTGATCTCATTTCGCTTTAAGCATACTGGGACTGTGCAGGCTCTGGAAAGTAGAGATAGCATTGCACTCTGTTCTCTGGGTCTCCTTTATTACAAGCACTTTTTAGGACAGATTAAAGCCCTGTGACAGACCTGGACACTGTCTCATACTGTTAGTGAATTGAGTTTCCGCTACGTGACTTGTTGCATTATTTATAAATGGGCTGCATCATCAGTTCTTCACTTTCCCTACCATTTCACACATAATTAATCCACTAAATGAATGCTCATGCTTGTAGGTATGATGTGTATGTTCACTCATATTTAAATGGCCCTGAGCTCAAAATGTTGAGGTCTGTCCAAAAGTATTACTACCTCTGCATCCTATGGCTACTAGAGGCAGGCAGTCCAAGATGATGGTGGTTCTTATGTATGAGTCTGGCCTGATGCAAAGTTTTTCATGCTTTGTGCATACTGTGCACATACTGAGTAGTTGTGATGGCAAGACTTTGTCTAAGACACAAATGACAGCATTAAATTAAATACATAAAAACATTTAAAGGGGAAAGTAAAAAAAGACTGTGACTTTGAACAGTGGACAGCATTATTAATTAGACTATATTAATTTAATATAGGATTAGTTGTTGCAACCCCATAGTTCTCTTGTGTTTGTGCACCATGCATGACTACTCAGTGCTGTTAAGTAGCATCAGGGTTGAGGTTACAGCCTTCCTGTGGGGGTAGCCACGATAATGAGCTGTTACCAGTGAGAAGCCTGTGAAAGGCAGTCGAGCAGTTCTCATTTTACCCATTAGAAGGCAGGAGAGCACATACAAAACTCGACCTCTGCTGGTTTACTTCAGTGAGCCTGTTTCATCCCTCCCATCAATTTTGCCCTGAGTTCTGCATGGAAATCATAACTTCATGGGAACATCCCCATGTGCTCCCAGAAGAATCACTGGGATTCTACCTCACAATGAGATGAAGGAGACAGACAGGAAAGTAAACCTTTTAGAGAATTAGTAAGTGTAAATGATTATGCTTACTACTTTAAAAAGTGAACTCTGTAATATACAAATGTTAAATGGATTTATGTTTTTAACACAGACTTTGCCAAACTTAGATTTGAGTTTAGATTACTTCGGGATTTGTAATAGTCTGACCAATACACTGAAAATGGAAGCTGTAGAATTAGCTCTGCATAATAGTTTCCTCTAAGGCTCCTCCCCATTAAAAGCTGGAGGGCTTTTAGTATTGTCCACCCTACAATTAGCCTTTTAAAAGAAAAGGGAAATTGAGCATCATATTTTTCATATCTCTGTTATGAACACCATTGTTTCACTACAGCAGCCAATGTGTTTAGGAAAGTCAGCAATTTCTTTTGCTGTGTGGTTTTCCAATGTATCTTTCACACAGTTTTCTATGCAGCTTGAAAGGAGAGGGAGTTTCCACTGTTTTCCTATCATTACAAAAATATTGCCTTGAAAAATATTTTTTTCCATGTAGACTCCAGCCTCATCACTCATCACATCATCCTGTGGTCTCATCTTTAAATGGTGACTCTCCAGGAGCAACATATTTGTAAATCAAGGCATGGGAGTAGATGAGAGCAGACACCTGCTCTACATCTGCCCATATTCCATGCTGTCTGGATCATAGGTTGGAAACTATAGGCTCTCATTATATATTAGCAAGGAATATTATTCCAAGTATAGTACAGTAAGTTCATGGTGCGGCTTCTGCCTTGTCCCTACATGGGTAGATGGCCTTACGGTTATTTCTGTGTTCACTTCTTTGCTGTTCAGCCTGAGATCATAATTAGGAAAACAGGATTTGAAAAGAAAGGTTTAATCTGGTACAAATTGGAGTAGCTCTGTCAAAGTCACTTGCTAGCACTGCTTCCTCTTGATTTTGGTTAGGGATAGATGAAGAATTTAAAATTCAAAGGTAGATTTTGGAAATTGCCTAGGTTTAGCAGCAGCACCTTAATTGAAGCCTTTGAAAGATGGATGAGCTATTACAGGGTTTTTAAAAAACTTATTCTGAAATGGAGAAGCAGCATGAATAGAATAAAATGATAGGTCATCTTTGCAAGAAAACTGCAAAGTGATCCTGAAAATACTCTTTTATAATGGAGAAGTATCAAGATATTCAGGAAAAAGAAAGATCAAACACTAAGATTCTGTCTTTTAAAAACAAAACAGAATTGATCCAATAAGCATAAAAACGTGCCTGCAAAATAAAGGCACGTTTGCGTAGAAGGACTCTCACTAAATAATGCAGTGGATTAAATGATTTTTTATGTTGTTGTCAACTCATTTGTTTCCAAATGGCATCATTATAAGTCGGACTGGCACAGTTTCCCCATTTAATTTCTCTTTCTTATTTTCTTCCATTTTCATTTTTCACTGGAAACCACAGGAAGACATTTTTGTAGTGAGGATATCATTCCTGCTGATCATATATCATTTGTGAGCCGAGTGAATTTGTTCCACATGTCCTTTGAACATGTACCGCACAAAACGTCTGGTAATATAAAGAATCTGGTAAAGAAGTGTCGAGTGTATATTCATTACAGCCATGTATTTGAATTAGTATTTAATTAGTAATGCATATAAATACATCTGCAGAGCTGAGAGTGAGCACCCCCTTTCTTTGATTTTGCACAAGATAAGGAGGCCCTGATTTATTATTCAGTAGTAAAGATCAGAGACTGTCTCAAAAAGAGTGGGAGAGAAAACAGAAGAAATATAGTGTCTGTGCATTCAGTAATAGCTTTTTCCACACAGTGTGTTGCAATTGCATTGGAAATGAAGATCCCTCGGCAGGCAGAGATTTGGTGTCTGTGTAGCACACATATGTATGTATATAATAAAATATCAGCATGAATAAACAGTGGCTATTGCCACTGTGAGAGTAATAGATTTCTAACCTCAGGGTCACTGATAGCCAGAAACAGGTGGTTGTGAGGAATTATTTGCATTTTACTGCCTGATTATACTCAAACTGTGGTCATCCCTATAGTGTTTATGAGATGTGGGCTATTGTAATATTCTCCATGTTTCCCTCTGAAATTCAAAGACTCTTATAGTGATGCTTGTGTAGTTGAGCTGAGTATCTCTAACTTAGGGTTAGCCTTCTGCTTTATCTTACTCACCTTTAGCTTTATGCCAGAAAAACCCACTGAATTGTAGTCCATTATTTACTTCAGTTTCCTGGATAAAAGGATTTTCTGTTGGTTTTGTTTGTGGTTTTGTTTGGGGTTTTTTATGTTTTTTTTGGTTTGGGTTGTTTTTTTTTTCCTTCAGTAAATGCAGCTATCTGCCTTTTAGTCAAATAAAATAGGACAGTTTTACAAGGCACCTTCCACACAAGAGGTTATCTTGAGTCTGGCTGGTGTTGCCTCTCTGATGCTTTCAGCACAATAACTCACTAAACCACTTGGTTTAGGCATCAGATAGCCATGCAAATGCAAATCAACATGCAGAAGGAAGCAAATATGTCATAACTAGAAGAACAAATTTTGACCTTAGTGGAAAACTTAGAGAAATGTTCTGAAAGTTCTGTGGGGGGAATGCGTATTGAAACAATTTGAGTAAGAACCACAGCAAAAATCTTTTCTCCTCATTGATCATTTATTTTAACCAAGACACACAAGCCGTCATTTCTGAAAACTGTCATTCTCTGCCACATTGTTTTGTTAAAAGGATGGATCCTAATGCAGTGTAACTCAGTAATAGCAGTAGGAATGTGAGCAACAAAAACACTGAAAGCATAGCTTATAGGTTTTTGTTTAAGATTTATTTAAGCCTATGTAAACCTATAACAGGTAGGGTAAAATTTCTCCAACCTGATTTTTAGAAGTTCAGGGTTAATCTAACTTGTCTAACAAAGCTTCCTTCATCATCAAAATTGGTATATCGAGGTACCACCTGGCATATTTTAGATCCCTGCATTAGGATGCACTGTAGCTTTCACTGTCTGCATTAACTTTGCTCTCTATGAAGTCTGGGAGACTGTAGAGGAAGCTGGATCTTTCCATTTGATCTTCTGCCTGGGAACATTCCAATTTGTGCTACATCTTGGATAAATGTTGATGCTATAGCTTTCCATTTCTATCACTATCACCAGTGGTTTCTTCTTTTCTTCTAGGAGCCAAGCTGTGGTCCAACATCATGGAGATCCTAGAGGAGAAGGATGGGGTTGATACTGAGCTACTGGTTTATGCCATGACCTTGGTTAACAAGGTTTGTTTACTTTATTAGCATAACTGGTGGAAATAATGTTAATATTTTCCATTGTATAATGGTCTTCCCTGTTGAGAATATGTGACAAAGGAGACTTGTCCCAGAGAAGCTGCAGGACAAGCAGTCAGCGTACTCTTGTTACTTCTGTTGCAGTCATCCAGAGGCAGCAACTGGGAGCAGAATTGCTATTTTGCTAAATGCTGTGCAGGAATGTGTTACGGTATGGCTCCTCTCCCAACACTGACAACCCAGCACAAAACAAAACTTAACAAACTAACTCTATAGCCAAGGGGAAAAAGAAAGCAAGCACTGCTGAAAAGATCACATGCTCACATAAGCTTGCATTGCGCATAATTTTCTGGTTCAGATAATTTAATTTTTTTTACTGCAAACCAAATATGATGAATTTAACAGGTCTGAGTGGTAGTATGAGTGTTTCTGCTTAAAAAAACGAGGTTACTTTTTTTCTCTTTTCTTTATATTTTCTAGTAGTAGTAATTTTGCAGTAAAATCAAATGTTTTCCAAAGTATTCTCTTGTGCTGTAGAAATTTCTTAGTATAAACTCCTTTAAAATTAATGTCTAGTCCTAAACAAATCTTAGGATGACTAAAATCTAAAGTAGCTTTTTTTTTTTAAATCACGCAGAAGGTCAATATACTACTAGCAAATCAAAATAAGCTTCTGTTTATGGTTATACTTAATAAGCCAGAGTATTATAGATTATTATTATTATTCATTATATTCATTTAAAGATCCTGAGTTTGTAGGTGGAGGTTACAAATAAAGCTGCCAGCTTATTACGCTTACGGCTGCATGGTTGGGGCCTTGGGTTGCTTTGGGGTTGGTTTTTTTTTTATTAAATAGTTTCTTTATGGTAGATATTGTCCAGGAAAGATGCCCAACGGGATCTAACCTCTCCTGGTGCCATCACTGGTGTTACTGTACTTCAGTACAGTACCTCACTGCCCTTGCTTCTGCTTACATGATAGTAAAGATCCTCTTGACTTTAAAAATCCATCTTATCTCACTGATGTACTCTTTCTGAAAGGCACCACCAGCTTTATATACTTCTGTTTTAGCTGCTATTAAAACCAAAGCGACTAGTTTTAAAGTCTCAGTTTTATACCTTGTTGTTTCATGTACTGCTTCCTCTTTCTGAGGTAATTCTCTTCATCATTTCTGCACTTGTAATCTACTTGGCGTTTGACTTCTTCAGAAATTTTGTTCTGTTGACTTTTTTATTATCCTATAGTTGATTCCTTTAGTCTGAGGTTTTTGCTACATTTAAAGCTATTTTTAGGATGAGGTAGTTCTTCAAATACACACAAAACGAAAAAGCATCTTGCAGTCAAAGGAGCAAGGCAGTTATGAAGATCAAGGAAGAGAGGAATCCCACAATGCCACACTTATAATTATGATCTGGCTTATGGACAGCTTTATGATGTTTTTAATGGGATTTTTTTCATAATTACAGAGAAAACAGCAAGCAGCATGTCACAGTTGTAATTTTTTGCCCCACAGAGAATACAAAGAATGATCAGATGGTTTCAGCTTGTTTAGGAGAGGAAATGTCAAAGTTTTCAATGCAGGCAGAGTCCTCATGAGGGATTTCTCTTAAGAAAGCATACTTCTCCTCCTTTTCCTTTCTTCATCTATACATATACAGTTTTCCTTCCTGCTCAAGAGCAGGGAACACAGCTACCCAGACATAAAAATTGCTCCAATCCTTTTATCCTCTCCATGTCTTTTTTTGATGCTTAACCAATTTACTTATACTAACGTTTCAGTAACCCTCTCTTAATTTCGTGGGATTTAGACATTAATGAAACTTTTATAATGGCATTAATCCCAATGCAAATACTTCTGGTTATGTAAAGTTCCAATATAACCTTTGTTATCTTCCTTCAGTTAGTTCCTGTGATCTGTTACTTCTTATTCTAATCTCTACTTTCTTCATTTCATTACTGAAATCCAGATTAAAGCCTTTGTGTTTCCTTTTTATAAAAAAAAAAAAAAAAGGCAAAAAACACAAAAATACAACCTATGTATCAAATTCAGAACAATATCATAGAATAGTTAGGGTTGGAAAGGACCTTAAAATATTCTGTGTTGTTTTCAATTCACTTTCTATTTAACTGCTATAAAACCTCTTCATTATTGAGATTTCACTGGAACCTTTGAAGGTGTAAAATCATCTTACCTTAAGATCATCAAGTTCCAACCCCCCTGCCATGGGCAGGGACACCTCACACTAAACCATGTCACCCAAGGCTCTGTCCAACTTGGCCTTGAACACCACCAGGGATGGAGCATTCGCAACTTCCCTGGGCAACCCATTCCAATGCCTCACCACCCTAACAGTAAAGAACTTCTTCCTTATATCCAATCTAAACTTCCCCTCTTTAAGCCCATATGCCAGCTGTCTGTTCCTGTCTCTTGTTAGTCACATAATTCAGACCACTTTTTCTGATTGCAAAGGTTCTTGGTGTGGGAAGCAGCCCAGAGTTGGGCTGCTCCTTTCTGCACTCTGCTGCTCAGAGCCTCTTTGGAAAAGCCAGGCTTCAGAAAAGCAGGAGTTTCAGAGTACACTTCATCTCATCTCAGACATGAGAAGATGAAAGACTTTTTGGAAGAGCCCTGCTTTTTGTATGTGCTGTCTCTATCTCTTGCTTTCTCTCTTCTACTGGGAGTAAAGATAAGTTACTTTGCTAATTAAATAGGAGAGAGGAAGCTACTTCAGAGTAAGCATATCTGGTGGTATAATCAAGAGTAACTGTTGCTTCCAGTTTGCACTGTCATGTATTTTGCAGAAACTGCTGTTTATGCAAATTGGATTGGTTCTTGCAATGAGGTTTATGTTGCTGTGCAAGTAGGTTGCACAGTACGTTCACTAGTTTCTGGTCAACATGCACAGGATTACGTTAATTTTTCTGTGTCATCCATAAGGAGCAGTAAAAAATCAGCACAAGATGAGTAGAAATCAGTGGCAAGCCAGAAAAGCAGTTTTTTTTCTGTTATCCTTGTGAATGTCTGCAGGACTCTGGTGGATGAAGTTCACTTGTGCTCTGAACAAAGTTGTGCAGTGCATGCATCACTCTGCAGTAAAGCTGTGAGTGGTTTGATTTAGTCTTTTGCTGTATACACTTCAGTGGCATACTATGGTATAAATGGTATGCTGCAGAAGACCATCTTCCTTTTCTCAGTTTTCTGGATTCACAAGAAAAAAGAAAAAGGAAATGACTATGGTAAGAAAAGTGCTTTCTTCTGACCATAGAGCAGTTACCATAGGAAGCTCTGAAACTCAAACAGTTCATTTTCAGTAGCTGTTACTATTGGCATTCTTTATTTTCTCGTGTACAAAAGCTCTTCTCCCATGTCACTGATAACAACTTACCCCACAACCAGGAATTAGTACTCTCTTAACATTTTCTAGGAGTTGAGGTAGTGCACCTTTAATAAGACTTTTCAAGTTGGAGAGAGGGAGGAGGAGAGTCAGATCTCTGTAATATGCAACAGTTTGTGCACTGAGGGATGACCTCTGCTGCAGGTGTGGAGGACAGTAGGCACATGGTGCAGGATATTTCCTGCTGTCCTGACATCACACAGCTGTGCATTTTTCTTCTTAAGGCCAACATTTAGAGAAATCAGTAGGAAATCAGCTTAACTGGTTTTAGCTAAACCATTTTTTTTCCTCTCTCTCTCTTTGCTTTTATCCCTGTGTTTGATGCTTTAACATTCTCTGTTCTTTAAATCTGTACTTGAATGAAGCCAGGAAGAATCCAACTGTGTATTTTAAAGAACCACATTTTCCATATTTTTTTGTATGAAATAACAACATTGATTTGTTTTGCCAATTATTCATTTTTCTGCACCATGCACAGATTTGTTTGTTAAAAGCTGTGCCACTTGTTTTTTATTTTCTAGCGGTGTCTCTAATCCCACATCATGGGTTTAACTTTATTGAAATCATACATAGCACCACTTGCCACCCGCTTTTAAAACCTTTGTTTAATTCCTTTCAAAACAAACAGATTTAACTGTTTTTCCTTTGATTCTTAGACGCTGTCGGGGTTGCCAGATCAAGACTCTTTCTATGACGTGGTGGACTGTCTGGAGGAGCTAGGCATCGAAGCTATTTCACAGAGACACTTGAACAAGAAAGGAACAGACTTGGACTTAGTTGAGCAATTTAACATTTATGAGGTAACATAACATGCCCTGTTTTATGCATCTTACAGCCTGCGCAAACTTCAAAGCCAAGGCGGGGGGGGGGGGCGGAATGTAACCTAGGTGAAATTTTGTTATCTCTTTTATTTTAAAAGGAAAACATCTGGTTGCTAGAAGTAGTATACACATTCATGTACACGACCTGCTATGGTACATAGTTGGGTTTAATGCAAACACATTTCGTACTAAAGCTGGGGCATACACCAAGGCAAAGAAGCACATTTACTAGCCTCCTTAGAGACAGTTCTGTGTGCAATTAAAACTTTCTCAGACTGTTAGTTACACATCCTGAAGTAAGTAGAAGTTCTTTCCATATGCAGAAGTATTCAGCTCATGAAAAAGGTTCGGCTGAGCTCAGCTTCACAAATACTACTTATCCTGCAGCTGAATACCCAGCAAGTCCTTGTTTAAGAGTTTACGCTGGACCAGATCCTACACAGTTTGCAGCAGTGGAGTAATGAGTGAGACCACATTCACCACGTAGGTATAAAGTAACTGCTTCTGAAGTATTTATATGTAAGGGTAGGATATCCAGTTTCTTAATAATTAGCCTCTTTTCGGACTTCGGTAAGTGTTGGAGAAGGGAGGTGTAATCTGAACTTAATATAATATAAATATGAATCCATGTTTTGACGTGATGAAATGAAATTATTGTATCCCTGTCTAAGTTCAGCAAAGGATTTGGTAGATTTGATTCTCCATTTTCTTCATCAACTCTATACCGATGTCATTTCACCAACTTTAGCAGTTAAGTTTTGCCTATGGCAGTTTGCAGGAAGAGTCAGGCCAAAATTGGAACATGAGAGAGCTCCATGTTCTTTCTTTATTGTCAGAGGCATCAGCTCATAAAATCCTTCTTAAAAGATGGTCATTAATCTCAAAAGCAGGGTTTTTTTTGCTCATGCTGTGTCTAGTGAAAGGCTTGGTTGCAAAATTAGCAGTAGGCTTAGTTGGGTACCAGCTTTTTCTTGATGACCAGACTGAATTTAGACATGCCTATTCACGGTCTTTTTTTTTTTTTTCTGCCAGTGTTTTTTATCTGAAAAATCTTTCTTCCCCACTGAAATACATTTTATGCCCTAAGGAGAGATATCACACTTCCCCTGCCTTTGTTTTGTTAAAGTCATTTCTGGCAAGAATTATCGAAGTAACAAGACTAATAGAAACAAGGAGATACACATTCTTCTGATCACCCACTTTGCCCTTTTCCGTAACTCTGTCTATTTGGAAATTTCTCATATAAAGGTTACTTAAAAGTTATGCTGCATTTAAGATGAGAACCACTAGTAACTCTGTTGTGTTTGCCAGTTATATCTCTCCTCATATATCCTGAGGTAGGCACTTGCTTTGTTTCTGCTACAGGTATGTCGCATTGGCATGTCAGCAGTGTGCTGTAGTTCAAGATATTGGGTGTGTCACCTGTGTTTTACTCCTCTACTATTTCCAACTGATGACCCTGTGTCAGAAGTTAATGCCAAATGTCACTGTGGCCACGCTATTGTCAACATCATTCTTTTCTGATATTATACATATGTTCCTTTGTATTGACAGTACTTCTGAACTGGCAGGAAATACTGAGCTTTCCACTGAAAGGCATACGTGAAAGTAGTTACACTCAGCTAAAACTTGGAAGGTTTAGAGGAGATGTGTGGTCTGCATTTTTTTCTTTTAATCCATTGTGGTACCAGTCCACAGAAATAGTTTTGTTTGTTAGGGTTTTTTCCTTTGTTTTCTTTGCAGGGATTTCTGTCAGAATGGAAATTTTTAGAGGAATGTAGTTACATATGCATCTGCTGATCTCTTCCTTGGCTGGGAAGAAATGATGGCACTGTTCTAAAACACTTTCTAAAGTAGCAGACAGCAACTTCCACTCAAACATTACAAGTGTCATGTCTGAACATGGGGAGATGTTCAATCATTCAGTGCGTGACAGTTTTTTCTGTTGATTTCACTACAGCCAAGACTTCACCTAAGTATTTTGGAGGGAAATAGAGCTAAGTGTCCAACACAGCTCAGCTTCCTTGAAAATTAAGTCCTGTGTTAAAAAAAACAAACAAACAAATTAGAGATAGATGTATGTGTTGTTACAGGTCCTGTAATGTTCTCTACAAGGCATCAATATATAATTCCATTATTAGAGCTGCTACACTGTACTAATGGATAAACAGCAACTTACAGGGTTAGCTACAGAAATTATGATGCTAATAGAAGTCAGTCCTGTTGAGATCCATTAACTTTTAAAGCCTAGACTTGAAGACCTGTGGTACCTAAAGGAACTGTGTCAGAAGCCTCACCTTTCTTCCTTTCTTTCTCAGATGACACTGAGACATGAGGATGGAGATGAGAGTGCTGACCTCCCTCCCAGTGGCCGCAAGGACCGGAGAAGGGCCAGTCTTGGTACTAATGAGCGAAGGGGGCTAGAACGCAGACGTAGCCGCAGGCACTCAGTACAGAACGTCAAAAGCACTTTATCAGCCCCTGCGAGCCCATGCAGTCAGGCAAACACTAGCTTCATGCTAGGCCATGGACAGCACGTTGAAGATCTCAGTGAGAGGTAAGTGCATAAGCTGGAGAAATAGTCCTTCCTTTTCCCCTATTACTTTCCATTGTGTTTGTTGTTAGGTAGTTTATTAATCTGACACGCTTTTCTTTATTTCCCTCTGTTAGGGTTAAAACAAACAAACAAACAACAAAAAATTGATTTGTAGGTGCCTTATGTACATAGCTAAGTTCTTTGGCACCATCTACCCTAAGTAAATAAATCCAAACCACATGACGTGGAGCATTTAATGTGGGAACTAACCAAGGATATTTTCATCTATTGACAGATTTTATAATCAATATACACACGTTATAAGGTATTGTAACAAGGGCATAGTCACATTCATGCAGAGCTGTTTGTCCTATATATGTTACAGTTAATTTTTTCAGGTTTTTTTTTCCCTTTGCAATCAGCATTCCATCATATTTTCCTTTGAGGCTACACTGTAGTAGTGAATATATCTAATGCTTTATAAGTACTGAAAAAAACTGGTAAAGCAGCAGCCTCTAACACTGGAGTCAGTCAAAGCTGGTGTCTTTGCCAGTCCCATAACAGTTGGTTTCGGCCATGCATGCTTAAGAAAAAGGCAGCTGCAGATACTCAGCATGTCTGCCTACTGCACAAGAGGGCTGGAATTAATTTTACCTAAGCTAGAAGTCCAGTCAGCTCACCTCCCTTTGATGTCCATGGAGTGCAGCAAGTGCTGGTAAGCCTTCAGTTATCTAATGTATCCTACATGCCTGAAATTTCAACCAAGATGAGTCATGCTCTGAAGATAGCTCTTTCTCTCTGTTGACTATAAAGGGAATTTGGCTGACTAGCTCAGGTGGAGATGCACAAGCTGCAGATAACTGAATCTGGACATTTTCATCCCATGGCTGAAGGTGCAATTTGCAAAACCAAAACATGCTCCATGAAGAGCATATCTTGTGTTTATCATAACGTTTTGGAAGCCCTTTGAAGGTCTGTGTTGGTTAGCGCTGGATGCGAGTCTTCAGATCCTGTGTTACACGTGAAATAGTCCTTCTTGCAAAGGAAACGGAGTTGACTAAAAGTTTAATGGCTTCAGGCAATATGGAAATACAAGACTCCAGATAATTTAAACAGCACTTGCGTATTGTAATGTCTTCTTTGTTTGGGTTTGTTTTGTTTTTTTTCTTCTTGCATTTGGGCAACACATTCATGTTTGTTTTCCATCACCACCTATTTGCTGGCTCTTTAGTGGGCTGGGGATTGAGAGCCCTGTGGTCTCACAGGATGACACGGATGACAGTGCATTTGAGGCTGAGTTTAAAGGATCTTCAGTGTGAGTACAGCTGGGGGCTTCAGCTGCTGTGTGTGGGATACATTGCGCATGATCTTGGGCATTGCTTCATGACTTACTAATGCGAATGGGAATCTGTATCCATGGATGTGGAGCAGGTGTCACTGATTTTTTAAAAACTGGTCAATTTGTACTAGAAGTGAAGAAATGCTTCACTTCAACAGAAATTGTCAGTTCTCTTACTGTAATTAAATAAATACAAGTCATGCAGGACAAACAGCTTCTACCAATATGCTTTCTCACTGTTAATGCTTGCTTATTAGCTTTATTTTGCAATCTTCAGTAACTCCTAATGAGTTTGTGTTTGACCTGATTTTTAGTATCAGAGGAGTAGAACCACGTCAGGTTAGTTTTGTAAGTTCTTTTTATAATGTAAGACTTTTTTTTTTTTTTTTTTGAGCAAAATAGTGTAATTTCAATCACTGTCCTACTTTTTTTTTTGGGGGGGGGGGGTGGGGGATGAAGTTGTACAGTTCTGCTCCACACCCTCTTTCACAGCAACATAAGTTAAAGAATAACTTAAGTCCACAAAAGAAGTCTACATTTAAGCAGTCATATTTAATTTCATGTTGCAGTTTTCCTTGGAATCTTCTCTAGGAAAATAATTAAATTCTCTTCAACTCCATTTGGAATCTCTAACTTGCTCACCTATGTCTGTAAGAAATGAGGCATTCAATTATTAATGTATGCAACACTGATCTTTACTTTGCATATTAGTTAAAAAAAATCTTTTACATGTCGTACCCCCTCGTTCTTCAGCAGGTAAAGACAAGGGAGTATTACCTGTATGTAACAAATCAGCTTTTTTCCTATCAGACAATACAGACCGCACAATATATTTTGGTACCCAAAGAAGCAAGTTCTATGCTAATTAAATGTTGGCTCTTCTATAAATCCCACTGGCTTTCTGGTAAATAAACGTTTCAGAAAAGCCGACTCCATCTTTCACATTTTTAGTCTCATCATCTGCCAAAATCTGTAGTTGTCATAGGAAGAAGAAAACCAGCCTTCCCGCTTTATCATACCCCAGTGAGTCTCTCAACTTTCAGTGAAATAGTCCAGATGAATGCAACAGTATCGCTACACCCAGTAGCTAAATTGGGACCAAAAAAAAAAAAAAAAGTAAAGGCTTCATGGCTTCCATTCATTAACATTTAAACAGAGAAATAGTGAAATTGAGTGATCCATATGAAGTTTTTGCATATTTATAAAGTTTCAATTAATCTTAAGTGGAAAGAATTTTTTTGTCTGCAGAATTCCTACTGGAATTAAATTTTCAAATTGAAGCACATCTGATGCAACATATTGATTGGTTTAAAGGATTTTACTAGAACATCATAAGTTTAGGAATTAGTGCAATTTCTAATGAAATTTTAAAATCGGATGTTGAAACGTGATGCAGCCATCACCTGTTTTTGTCAAAAGAAATGTATGTTGTGTCCCATCGTCTTCCATTGTTAATGTTGTAGAGAGGAATCTACAAATGGATAAAAATTACTTATTACCTCTCTGAGCTGAAAGTAAATTTTCTTTACCCAGGAAAGATTTGTCTTCTCCTAAAGATCATTTTTTAATTCATAATCCTAGTCCCTCTCAAGGAAGGAGAAAAGCTTGTAATAAGTTTTTGCAGTGCTGTATTTTCTAAAAAATAGTCTGTAAAATGGGTTTCAGTCTCTTTATTCCTTCACTACATTTTATTTACCAATAAGAAACATTTAACTATATTAATATGATAATCATACTGTGTTTCTCCTCCTGGTATCTAAACTTTGTATGTGGTTGTATATGTCTGTGTCTGGTTTTACAGTGGATCAGCACCATCAAGTTCAGTGGAATTGCTTCTGATGGACATGCTTACAGATTAAAGTCACACTCTTATACTGTACTAAATTTTATTTAGGGCAATATTCTTGGTTATTTTTGGACTTCACTACCAAAATCAGTAGAAGGAAGGTTCGAGTTCTTCCTCAACATTCTCCTTCCCACAGTGTTCATGTTTCTTTTCTTTCTAACTCTGTCAGCTGGTTTGGCAGTTACTTTGCTTTTGTTTACCACATCAAACAGGTTGTCCACAGTCATCTGCTTTGTGTCAACTGATAGGTCTTCCAAAAAGGCTAAAATCCATGGTGCCGGTAAAACAAAAAAGGACAATATTGGCCAAATTCTGTTCTGTCTCACAATGCTCTGTATCCAGAAAAGCTGTCTGAACTCAGTGGAGCTGCTCTGATCTATGCCAAGCTAATTGAGAGCAGACTTTGGGTTTTGAGCTGGGAAAAGTTGACCGTAAATGCTAAGGGCAACCAAAAGGAAGACTTGCAGGCCTTTTTCATCCATTTGGCAACCTTCTTTCAAACTATATGTATTGCTTTTTTGCCTGCGGTTCAAAACAAATAAGGACCCAAATATGCTTTGTGTTAAAATAGTTTTCATGGAGACTGAAACGCAGTCTTATATGTCCATTACTAAATAAATAAGTTGATAACAACTCCTGACTAAGAAAGGCTGAAGGTTGGTTTAAGTCATGTAGCTGCTGCAGGGTACTTTAAAATGCCAGTCCTGACCACCAGCAGGTTTGCTTTGCTCAAAACATCTTTCTTTTACCATGATGGCATAGAGCACCAAAAAGCCTGGTGGGGGATGTCAGTCCTGTTAACATGATGTTTTAAATGTTTTACTGATGGCATCTCCTCAGGTTTTCTGCCCTGGTCCAAACTGAGTGCTCTCAGTCTGTGGTCTAGCATGCTGTTTGTTAAGTGGTAGTCTTTTAAACAAATCCTTCCATGGTTTTGGTTTGTGTTTGTTTGTTTTTTTTTCTTTTTAAAGTAAAGCTAGTTTTTTCCAACCTCACAATGGATAGAGTCAGGGAAAAATGTAAGGAGTGGCATGGAATTTGCACTAGATCGATAGTGTTATTGTATGCAGTGATTTCTGGCTATATAAGCATTAAAGAACAAATTGGCTGTCTTTCAGTCTTGTCATGTCTGGCTTCAGGGGAGTAGAAGGCAGGTAATTCTGAAGTTCTCAGCACTGTCTTGACACTGAACAGGTACTTTGCAGGAGCCCTATACTTGCAGACCAGAAGCAAGTACTTCTCTGAGTTTTTGAATTAACATATTTCACATTTTGCTGTGCATTTCCCTTTCTTCAGTACTGCACAATGACCTTCCCCATCTATGAGATTTAAACTGATGCCTCATACCAACATTTGAATGAATAGCTGTGTTAAAGCTTTGTGGAATTAGTTGCAATTGAAGACTGAGGTTTATAAAGTTTTGAATAGCTAGGATTAGATATCTACCTCACTTTGCTAGGCTCTGTTTTCTTCTGCTTTTTCATAGCTTTGATTTGCTTTCTATCATCAAAAATCACAGAATAATTTCTAAGATTGAGCATGTAACACTATACATGTTCATCTAGAGACAATAAGGCCTTGGTTACAACTTGTCAGCATTCCTGTGTCTGAAACCTAACAAGTGGAAGAACTGACTTTCTTGTTAAGAACACATCAGAGCAGGGCATGTATCTTGAATCAGTGACCAAATCTGGATTTCAAAAGCTATCTTTTTTTTTTTAGACCATGGGGCTAAAAAGGTATGAGGAAGACCAACTGTCCAGGTTCACCTGAGGCTTCCACTTTTTTCAGTGTGAAGAAACTTAACCTTCAGAACTGTGGTGATAAGGAAAACAGCAGCAGAAGAGCAAAACCACAGCAGGGATTTATGTACCCAATAACTGTGCTTTTGTTAAGAGTCCTGCCTGGAAGGCTGTTACGACTCTTCCTCTGAGCAAAGAGTAGCACAGGGAATTCCAAAGTTTTCTGCAAATTTCACAGCTGGCTGGACACAGTGCCATTGAACATTGCTGGACACTGGGCTCAGGGGTTTTCACACCCTTTACAGTGTGGATTGGAAAATTATTGTCTATATAAAGGAAAGCTGTGCTGAGAAGTCGTAAGGATCTGTTTGTTAGAAAATACATGTTTCTGATACTTGAGGATTGTCATGATGCAGGAAGAGATTGTGACGTTATTTTGGTTTTACCAGAAAACAATGAACACAGCTGAGCCTCTGATGCTAAGCATTTTTTCTGTTTAACTTCAGATTCCTGACAAGTTTCTAACAACCAACAGCAGAGACCTTAGCCTGGCTATTATGCCCCATTAACTGATTATTCAAATTGCTTCATGTAGAGCCAGGCCTGCAGGGGTGGTTTGTCCAAAATACAGCTAAGAGTTTTTTTTTTTATTGTTATGATTTTCCTTGTTTTCAAGCATCCCGAACCGTAACTGATCTTTGATTTTTTTCATAGCATTTACTGTGGCCAAAATTCTGGGTTTTGTCGTGCCTTTTCAAGTTCTGATGGTTTTCCACTACACTGTGTGAAATGTTTTTATTATGTAAATACTTTAGCTATAAATCAAAGTGTTGGTTACAGTTGTGGGTGGGGTTTATTTTATTTTATTTTATTTTAGCTCATTTTAGTACTTTCCATATTGCTTGGAGTTATAAGTCCTAATCCTGTCTCAGGTTGATATAAGCACTTTTAATCTGAATTAAAATGTCTCTGTAGAAACGTAAGGTTTTGTAGTAGGGGTACTTTTTGCTGGCAGTGGGTCTTGCTGAAAGGTAATGTTTTACACTTGGTATATGTGCAGAATCCAATTGACAGCACTGTATATTGGTGTAAAGGCAATGGTAGATTTTCCCAGTTTGAATTTCAAGAGGAATGAAGAAAGCACTGAAACTTAAATGAGGTGATAGCTGCATGGCAAACCAAAGCACAGCATGACTTAGCCTAATGGTTTTTTACTTTTTTTTTTCCACTGTGTTTGTAGCTTTGGTGAACTACCTGAGGAAATATAATGTCAAACCAGGATGTGAATGCATTTCTCTGGAGGCCCATGTTAATGTCTTATGCACTGGACTATACGTGCCATAGAAAATTTACCTCCACTGTATGTTCCCAGTATTTGTAAACATGAT